TCTGAGATTAGGTGTGTCCGGTATTTTTTTTTTTAAGTCACCTGGTAACCCTACTCCAGCCCCTGTTCAATCAGTTAACTGGTTAAACCTAATGTTTAACCTTTTAACTAATTAAACAAGGTCTTACATCCCTACTATGAAGATGAATACATGTAAAGAATAAATCTGTTGCTGCACATGTTCTCTGGCTAAATAGGACTTTGTATAAACATGACTTCTTTCATTTTTTTTTTTAAGTCACCTGGTAACCCTACTCCAGCCCCTGTTCAATCAGTTAACTGGTTAAACCTAATGTTTAACCTTTTAACTAATTAAACAAGGTCTTACATCCCTACTATGAAGATGAATACATGTAAAGAATAAATCTGTTGCTGCACATGTTCTCTGGCTAAATAGGACTTTGTATAAACATGACTTCTTTCCCTCTTAACTTTGCAAAGTTAGTCAGTTGCCATTCACAAACACTACATTCATGTTTAAAATACTAACAAAAAAGAGACACTGTAGAAATCACAATGAGAGTGATTTTGATGGGGTTATATATGCCCCACAAAGCAAAAACTTTGTTCAGTATTTATTTCCTCACATGAAATTCCAGATTTTAGGTCAGCAATGCGTTTGCCCAGTACTGTATATTGGTTTCAAGTGCTTGTCTTGATTTGGTTCTTTGTCTTTGACAATACCTTCACAAGTTTGTCTTCACGTTGCATTGTTTTTTCCTAGTCATGTCCCCAGTCACTTAGGTCACTGACTGATGCATGCAAGGGACTGAAGCCTCTGCTAGTGTAACTCCATTTTCTTCACAATAATTAAAGTAGAATTTGGTCCACAATGTCATCTGTAATACTTAGGTACAATGGGATAAGTCAAAGACGTGGCATCTGGCTTTTACTTCATAGTTCCTTGTGGTTTTGTTGTTGTTGTTCTACCATAATAGTCATTGCTGTGCACGTAGGGTGGGATTTTCAGAAGTGCTAGTTTTGGCCCTAATACTGCTCTCGTTGAAGTCAGTGGATGTTTTAACTTTGGCTACACTGGGAATAGCTAGATAAGTGCTCAGCACTTTCAAAAATTGACCTTTCATGCACAGTAAACTCTGTATAGTAACTGAGAAACCTATTCTGATTTTTCTGAACAATATTATCCTTTTTGATACCATTGCATTTGACAAAACAAATTAATTATGTCAAAGATTTGTATTACAGGACGTGCAAAAACTGGGGAAAAACACACTGGGAAAAAGCTTTTGGGTCTTATCAGAGTTAAAGATCTTTTGGAGGGTGACTATTAAGTTATAAATACTCATTTAACATTTTGAATTGCTGTCAAAGTATAGAAATTATTAAATGAAACTAATAATGGCTACTAATAGAGTAGAAACATTAGGAGGGATTTTGCGTAATTGTAAAGGGTTCTAGTGAAATCAGAAGAAGGTGACTTTTAACAGTAGTTGAACAAAAGCAGTTGAAACAATTTACTCAGCAAATGTTCATACTGATGTATCTGTGTACAGCAAGTTATAAAAACATGGAGCCAAACCCATTTTCTAATTCCAAATGTGCACTTCATATTCAATAGTATTGGTAAATGCATTCATGTTTTGCAGACAGTGGACATTCATAAAGAGAAAGTTGCTAGAAGAGAAATTGGCATTTTGACTACGAACAAAAACACTTCAAGAACCCACAAAATCATTGCACCAGCCAACCTGGAGCGTCCAGTTCGCTACATTAGAAAACCTATTGATTATACAATTCTAGATGATATTGGACATGGAGTGAAGGTAGGTGATGTTATAAAACACTCTTAAATTACTGTACAGTTTCAAAATGTAATGACCTGATATAGTGACTTGTTCCTATCTTCCACATTGCAGCATGGTTTTTCTCAATTTCTGAGAAAAATGGATTTAAGAGGAATCCCCTGTCCAGTTTAACCTTGCAGACCGTTTTATCTCTGACTCTGGATATGCATATGACCATGGAACTCATCTGGGGCCCAGATAAATCTGCTTACTTGGACAGAGGCTGATACCTTTGCCCTTGTTTGAATAATTTGTCTGGAGGTACCTGAGTAATGAGGTTATTAACCTTCTGTCCCTTCCCTGCTTGAGTTACTGCCTCAAAATGCATTAATTGACCCATGTGTAATATTATTAGTGCCATTCTGTGGCTCACTAGCAGGAGGCATTTATGTAAAAGGTAGCAGTGAATAATCTTTAGTTTTAGTTTAAGAGAATTGTAACATGACTGACATCTCATGAGTTTTCTGAAGCTAAAGACTGCCATCTGGGCCATCCAGTTATGTCTTTTCAGGAATACTTTAAAATACAGATTTGTAAATAAAATCTTAGCAGATGTGGATTTATAATTGTGCTACTAGGAAACCATTTGAATATAAAAGAGGACAGTAAACATTTTTTGTGAAAGAAAGAAATATAAATAATATGAAGAATCACTTACAAAACACACAAATTAACAAATCCACAGAACTTTCAAAATCATGAGGCAATAACATGCTTTAAATTGATTTCAAAATTTCCTGTGCTTGACATGAATTTCATTATTTATTACAAGTACCAGAGGGGTAGCCGTGTTAGTCTGAATCTGCAAAAGCGGCGAGGGCTCACTCATGGGATACTTTTAGTTTAGGTTAATATTCCAGATTAGTGTTCTGCTTCAGAAAACTGGAACTCTAGTAATATGTGTAAAACAAAGTTTACGCCAATCCAAATTCTCATCACAATGAGGATGCCTTTTGGTACCTAGTGTAAATTCACTTGTAAAGTTAATCCACTTGGAACCCAACACTCACACTGTGGGGAAAATGTTGACCCTTTGATTGTTTAACAGTGGGAAAACTTCAGTGATTGTGCTCTCTCATGAATTGTCCAAACAGTTGGTTGTTTAGTTACCTAGTTAAATTTGAGATATATGAAAGCTGTTTGATTAATCAGTGTGTCTATTAAAAGTTTCATCTTGAAAATCTTTTGTTCATGGCACATTCTGCTTTAATCACTCTTTCTATAATCTATTGATACATTATTTTGTTGATGCTGAATGCTTAACTTTTTCTTTCTTTTTTCCTTTCTCTTCATATCCTGAAGTTCCAACTAACCTTTCAATGCTTTTTCTCCTTACCTCTTTTATTTGCTCCATGTATGCATTAAGTGGTTGCTTAGATTTAAGGTAAGAAACCCCAGGGCTGGATTTCCATTCTTATTCTTTAGAGACTATTACACATGGGGAGAGATTTGAAATTAGCATGTCACGAACATTTAAAAAAAAAAAGAATAAACCATTTCTTCTCCCTCTTTATGTTCCCTACCTTCAGTCTCAGTATGATTTCACTGTGAATAGATGTTTTGCAGTATAAATGGATGGATTTCATGTAGTTAATATTTGCAGTTGAAATAGTGTATTTACATTGAATAGAAATAAATGGTATATAAATGAGTAGTTAGCCGAATTTAAACCTCCCCTTGTGTAATACTCTTTTTATCCTATATACGGTATAATTTAGTATTCACTTTGTGACCAGTATTGTAATGTAAAATTACTCAGAGACATTCAGGCTGTGTTGCAAAATCAAAAATAATTGTTATATTAAAATTTGCATTTTTTAAAGTTGTAGTATCACACAGTTATTTCAATAAATGTCAAAGTTACTCTTTTTGTAAAATGCTGTAGTTGTAGAGGTTAACTTGTACAGATATTTTCTCAGACTTGCTAGTATCACTATGAAAAATATTAAAGCACTTTTAAAAATATCAGATTGCTTTTACACTGAATCTCTTCAACATGGCAACCTTGGGAAGCAGGGTATGCTAGAGTAAATAATTTTCTGGGCCGGGGGAAGTATGGGTACTGAGCATGAAGGGATGGGAGTGGGGCATTTATCTGGCACCCTGCTCCCAGGGACACACATGGTTCCACACTTCCTGCTGCTTCCAGGCACTGTCTGCTGCTATGGGAGTGGTGGGGAAAAGCCTCAGGGGAAGTGCATTGCTGTGCTGCCGTTCCCCCAGCTGGGGGATGGAGGGAGTTGCAGTGCACAGAGCTGCTTCCTCCTTCGCCTGTCAGGATGTGTACCATGGGTGTTCTCTGATTAGGGACCCCCCGGAGTATGGAGATTGAAGTGTAGCATGTCACTTATTTAGCAGTATTATGTTAACTAATCAATGTACTTAGTAGTCTGCAGGACTGTAGTCTATGTGAATACTCCTAGGTGAGCCTAAGGCCAGTTCTACCCTACAAACTTACTTGGGTATAAGTATGTTCCTCCGGGAGGTGAGCAAGCCAAACCCTTGAGTGATGCATTTATGCCAGTCTAACCTTTGGCATAGACTGCACTATCCTGACAAAGCTACTGCCTCTAGCAGAAGTGGACTAAGTACACTGATGGGAGAAGTTCTCTCTTAGGTGTAGTACAGTAAACCTATCAAAGCAGGAAATCAGGATAGTAGTTTGCATGGTTTATTCTTGACAAATCTATGTAGGCTATTACTTACTACCTTATCTTCTAGCTGCTTATAAAATGACTGCCTAATTTATTGCAATATCTTTCTAGGTATCAAAGTTAGTACAGCATTTGTAATACAATCATAATGCATTTTTAATACTGAATTTCCTGAAGAGAAATTCTGTATAAAAATCCTATTCTTGGTGTAGTAAGTTTGAGTGATTTGGAAAAGCAGCTGGCAGATTTTTAAAGTTTTCATTACTTTCCTCAAAGTAATATAATCATATAAAAGTATTGTATGTTCACTTCATTATAGATAAGGGCTGCCAGGTCCTTTTCCCTTTTGCAGTTTTCCTTTTTTTTTTTTTTTTTTTTTTTTGCCGTTTTAGATTAAGTAGAAATTCTTCTATATCTGGAACTTGAATGATGCTAGCATATTTTCCTGCATTGTGTAGGGCAACTTAGAATTTTGAAATTACTTGTCAAAGAACATCCTTGATCTCAAGCTTGATCAGGCCAACTATAGCATGTCAGACAATCTTTTGTTGCCAGATTTGTGGAGGGGTTTTTAAACAAGGCTATGTGGTATATTGGTCTTTCAGGTTTAACAGTCCATTTATTCTAACTTGCATTTAAAAATCCTGGGTGAACAGACTGCCCATGTGATTTTGAAGCTGCAAGTGAAAAGTGATTTCTGTAGTCATGTAAATACAATTGTGTTGCAGTTGTGCCCTATTTTGGAGGAGATTACATACATAATACCTTAGCATTTATTGTTTCTTTTCAAATGTTAATCTTAGGCTTTGGTACCAAGAAATTGAGACTGGTTTAACTAACTGGATTCAAACTGATTTAGTTATAACAGTGCAAACATCTTGTTTAGACATTTGTGTTAATGTGAGTGGCTTATTTTGATTTAATGTTAAGAGAATTTTAATCCACTTCAGCTAAAACAAAATAAAGCTTTCTAAACTGAACTTAAATTTTCACACAGCTGCTTGAACCAGTCTAATTAAACCAATTAAGTCCCACATTGTAGTTGAGACAGTTTTCCCATCACTCTGTTAGGTGGACATGATACAGAGAGGTTTGCTTGCCTTCCTCTGGCTCAACATACACACCCTGTCAAGTGAGTTAACTCAGAAGTTTCTGGATCCTGGTCAAAAACTCAGTCAGCTGACTGTACAAACAGTAGATAAGAGCTGAGGTGGATTGGGAAGGTCATTTTTTTTCTCAGCAAGAGGTTGGTTTTGCTGATGTCAGGTATCAGATCACTCCAGCATCTGATAGCTGTTTAAAATACCTGAAGGTAATTCTCAGAGTATATTTGGGGAAAGGGCCATTCATTTTATTCCCAGTCTGTAAGTAAAAAGTGATATACTATCTACATTATGGAAGAGGGATAGTTTGCTTGAATGTCTTTGAAAATCTTGAGTTTGATTTACTATATAATGTGTGAAAATATCTTTTTAAGGATATTTAGTCTATGTAGTTTTCTATATGCACTTACTAATGTAGAATCTGAATGCTTTCCAGGAATGCAATAAGCAGAGTGATTTTGTATGCCACATGTTTGTTCTCTTTTCTTCTCCCAGAGGGTGAAGTATGTGTAGTAGGTTAGCTATGACTTCTTTTCTGAAGAGTGCCTCTACTTGAGACCTTATCCTTATATGTATCCTTTATTTAACGAAAAGCTCTCTATTGACAAGTTCACTGCCATTTGCAACTAAAGGATCATGATGTTTAAAATAGATCTTGCAGCTAATGCTTCAGATCTATAGACAGTTGTCAACATACCATGTGAATACACAATATACCTGTGCAATTGTAGGGACTTGTAGTATATCTGATTAGATGTTAGTAAGACTAAAAAATACATCTATGTAGCTTAAAATATTTGTTCACTAGTGGACTTACTTGTCGTTGCCCGGATCCTTCAGGGTAGAAGACTGGCCGTGTGGGGGGTCAGGGCAGGGCTTTGGTGATGTTGGGAGGCAGTGCAGGAGGCTGGAGGGGTGTGTGTGTGTGTGTGTGAGAAAGAGGGCGAGGAAGGGCTTGGAGAGGGAAGGGGAGGGGGCCCACGTCCGACAAGACTTTTCTCTTGCACCAGTTCCACACACACCCTGGTCACCAGAGGCCTTTTTTCTATCTTCTTCCATAGGATGGGGAGGAGGAAGGGTTTGGGGTGGTGGGCTACTTAGTTGGTGTGCTAGCAGGCAAGGTGACAGAGCCCCAGCCCTGCTGGCCACTCCCTTGGTGATATGGCTGCACCCAGTGGACACTCTGCAAGATAGTGCTCACCAGTGGGCTCGCTGGGTTAGGTTAAAAGGGGTTAAAAGAAGGGTAATGTCATGCTGGGGGTCTACTACAGGTCACCTATCCAGGTAGAAGAGGCGGATGAGGCTTTTTTTAAACAACTAACAAAATCATCCAAAGCGCAGGATTTGGTGATGATGGGGGACTTCAACTATCCAGATATATGTTGGGAAACTAATACAGCGGGACACAGTCTATCCAATAAGTTCTTGAACTGCATTGAAGACAACTTTTTATTTCAGAAGGTTGAAAAAGCTACTGGGAGGGTGGGGGAAGCTGTTCTAGATTTGATTTTAACAAATAGGGAGGAAGTGGTTGAGAATTTGAAAGTAGAAGACAGCTTGGGTGGAAGTGATCATGAAATCATAGAGTTCATGATTCTAAGGACTAGTAGAAGGGAGAACAGTAAAATAGAGACAATGGAAGGCAGATTTTGGTAAGCTCAGAGAGCTGGTACTACATAAGGTCCCACGGGAAGCAAGACTAAAGGGAAAAACAACTGAAGAGAGTTGGCAGTTTTTCAAAGGGACATTATTAAGGGCTCAAAAGCAAGCTATTCTGCTGTGTAGGAAAGAGAGAAAGTATGGCAAAAGACTGTCTTGGCTTAACCAGGGGATCTTGCATTATCTAAAAATAAAAAAGGAGTCATATAAAAAGTGGAAACTAGGATATATTACAAAGGATGAATATAATAAGCAAACAATACAGGTATGCAGGGGCAAGATTAGAAAGGCAAAGGAACAAAACGAGTTCATACTAGCCACAGTCATAAAGGGAAACAAGAAGAATTTCTATAAATATATTGGAAGCAAGAGGAAGACCAAAGACAGGGTAGGCCCATTGCTCAGTGAGGAGGGAAAAACAGTAACAGGAAACTTGGAAATGGGAGAGGTACTTAAAGACTTCTTTGTTTCGGTCTTCACCGAGAAGTCTGATGAAGGAATGCCTAACATAGTGAATGCTAGTGTGAAGGGGGTAGGTTTAGAAGATAAAATAAAAAAAAAGAACAAGTTAAAAATCACTTAGAAAAGTTTGATGTCTGCAAGTCACCAGGGCCTGATGAAATGCATCTTAGAATATTCAAGGAGCTGATAGAGGACTTATCTGAGCCTTTAGCTATCATCTTTGAAAAATCATGGAAGACAGGAGAGATTCTAGCAGAATGGAAAAGGGCAAATATAGTGCCCATCTATAAAAAAGGGAAATAAGAGTAACCCAGGTAACTATAGACTGTGTGCCAGGAAAGATAATGGAGCAAGTAATTAGGAAATTCATCTGAAAATACCTGGAAGAAAATAAGGTGATAGGTAACAGCCAGCATGGATTTGTAAATAACTACTTATGTCAAACCAATCTGATAGCTTTCTTTGATAGGATAACAAGTCTTGTGGATAAGGGAGAAGCAGTGGAT